TATCAGCCTGGCTGTCCGTTCACGGAAAGCCATCTGCACATGCTGAAGAGTGTGAGAGGAAAAACCGATCCCTAACAGAATGGGAATCATCGACATTTCATTATCGCTCTGCTGCGAAGCCATGACTGTTCTGATACCACCCTTTCACAAGCATCCCGTAAGAATCCTCCTAGTAGGGTCGCAGCGGCCCCACGAGTTTCGTTCGGCTCATGTGGAAGTGAGCGCCTACGAAGGAGGCAATCGCTGGAAGAAGAGAGCGCGTAGGCAGCTAGATAGACCGACTGGTGACCAGAAAGTGAGAATCCAATGGTAAGAAAAATGACTGATGTGCTCTGATAACCGCACAGTGCTTACTGCGCTAGGGAATGGCTACGCGATAGATACGCTCACATCATTCTTACAAGAAGCCATTCGCAACCGTTGGCTTTCACTCACGTGTCATCTCATTTCATCAGACTTCGCGAGAGTAGCATTCAAAAGTCGGACGGAACGGTGTAGCCATATCGAACGCTGCTCTCCACGCCAATCGCGGTTTCCTCGTATAATAGAAGGGTGAAATGAAGTTGTCGTGTTGATAAGAGTGATTCTGCTGTGTCTTCCCTGAGAGTGCTTCGTCGCGTGACTCTCCTTCTGCTGCCATGCCAACAATGTTCAGCATAAAATGTGTGAAGAATTGTATAGACGACAAACCGGGCATTCACCTCCGTGGATCCTGATTCTCGCCGTGTGTAAACGGATTCACAGCTGCTACTTTTTGCGCTCGAAAACGCATGGGAATGCGGCTGCCGGGGAAGAGATACACGAAAGCTGTCCTCATTCTCCGCAGGCGTTGCCGCACGGCCAGTCGCGCGTCTAGCGCTTAATCATATAGGAAGCGATACTTGTCTGCACTCTCTCACCTCTGTTGTTCTCTATGGCTGAGTACCTGTTTCGCCGCGGCACCTTACCGTCCACGCGAGTGTTGCACCTTGACGATAGCACGGGCGGAGTATGGACGCGGCACCAAGTATCACTATCACAACTCTGCAGCCAGTTTCCGTGGATCTTTGAGCAGAGAAATTGGCACACTACTGCAGCTGCAAACCCATTCACCTTGCATATGGAAACGACCATCCTTGAAGGTTAAACTACAGTGTCTTCGAAGATACCAGGCTGCTTGAGACACAAGTGCCAATGTCTTGCAGACCTCCCTTCTTAGATAATCTTCTCATACGAAGCAGCAGTAAATTGGTGTGACGGCAAACAAGGTGCGAACAGGTAGAGCATTGGCACCACATGTACCCTGTTGACTATCGAGTTACTCGGGCGTAGAGAAGTAAAGTTTCGATTTGTCCTTGCAATGTGCTGGAGTTGTTCGCTTGGTTCTCGCTAACAAGGGAATGGTTTGAACTTCCCATGGAACTTTGAATGGAGACCTAGGTACATCGATAGAGCCTCGAATGCTGATTACGAATATGCAGATTAAAAGTGCTACGGGGACCTCCCAGACGAGATCTGGGTGGTCAAAGTTTGCGAAAAGTCAGTTTTGGCTCGTAAGCGCTGCTGATCGATGCCTCGGCAGTGCCACCGTGGCCTCGTGGTAATGGTCTCGCTTTCAAGTCAAACGCATGCGGGTTTGCATCCGGTTGGCGCGAAAATTTTTGCTTCGCTCCGTATAAGAGCTTCAACTCTAATTTTCGAAATTCTTCCGAATTTACGGCCCAGCAGGGCAAGTAGATCAAGTACATCAAGTATACGACGTACTCGATCTAGTATGGATTTGATCTGCCCTCTCTGAACATATTACCCATCCGACAATTCAAAGTTTTGCCCAGAATCGCAATTTGGCCAGACGAGCGTTTTTTCGTCGAAGGATGTGATATTCGTGTTCAGGGGGTCGAAATCTCCCATGAACGAATTTCTCGCTAAAACTTTGAATTGGATGGGTAACCTGTTCAGAGAGGGCAGATATGATCAAATCCATACTAGATCGAGTACGTCATATACTTGATGTACTTGATCTACTTGCCCTGCTGGGCCGTAAATTCGGAAGAATTTCGAAAATTAGAGTTGAAGCTCTTATAGGAGCGAAGCAAAAATTTTCGCGCCAACCGGATGCAAACCCGCATGCGTTTGACTTGAAAGCGAGACCATTACCACGAGGCCACGGTGGCACTGCCGAAGCATCGATCAGCAGCGCTTACGAGCCAGAACTCAAACTTTGACCACCCAGATCTCGTCTGGGAGGTCCCCGTAGCACTTTTAATCTGCATATTCGTAATCAGCATTCGAGGCTCTATCGATGTACCTAGGTCTCCATTCAAAGTTCCATGGGAAGTTCAAACCATTCCCTTTTAAGTCTCCACTGCGAACGCGTTCGGAAAGGTTAAGTCGATGTCACTGCGGTGAGGTGCAAGTCGAAAAACACTGATCCATGCAAGCTATCATGGTAGCAATAATTTTATATCCTTTTTCATTCTGTTATCATCTAGACTTAGGAGCTAGACTCGCACTCACAGGATCGAAACCTTCCATAATATTAGTCTTTAAAGAGTGCCACTCCTCCACGAATGCATCCAGCTTCGTAAACGTCGATTGGACCCAGCGAATTGTTGATAAGAACTGCAAATCGCCAGTGAAAATCTCACTGTTACCGCCAGCTCGAATTGTTGACCTTAGCTTCTTCAGTCTCGATCAGGTGAGATGTTCGGCTCTTTTGCGTAAGCAGTGACTCTGTGTGTCTGTGAAGGAGTAGGCTGATCCACTGCAGCAACTGGACTCTTAGAAATGTGCAGATGATATCCGATTCGTAAAAGGAGAAATGAGGATATAAATGGTGCATATTAAAAGTCCTTGCAAATCCGGTATGATAAACCAGTTTGGCTAACGACACTTCTGCGCGCATGGTTCACTGCTGTGACGCGAGTTATGAATTTAATGACCCTCCCCTTTTGAGGCCGCTTGTTAGCCCTTTCAGCTGTTATCACCTCCTGCTACCCACCAATAGTGTTCCTGTCTGACCCACATCACTTTTCGATTTGAGCGTACGACTGATTCGAAAGAAGTTATGAATTTCCGCCGTCAAACACACACACACACACCACGCACACACACCAACAGACAAACTTAGCGAATTATATATAGTGGGATATCGTTGCCGTATACTTTCAAGCCTTAGCAACAGTGAACTGTCCTATATGGCCATAGCTATAGTCCTTCCTCATCATTGCGGACTGTCGGGGCCGGCGTGAGCACCGCGGTTAGAGTCCGCGTTCGTCTCTCTCTACCGATGGCGATCGGGTGCAGGTCGATCCAGGGAAGAGATCACCAATGATAGAAACGCCGCATGTGAGGACCGCTGATTGCGACCCGACAGACTGCAGTGATACTATAAGCATGAGTGAAATTCAGCTAACCGAGCAAGCTCGGGGATTGAAAAGAAACCCCAGTGATCAAAATCAGCGGAGGATTATGGAATTGGGCGTCATATCAGAGAAGTGCACTGCTCGAATCTATCCTGTACCGGACCAACGCGTAGAATGGATCGCTCGGACGTGAATGCGGAAGATTTGGTTTGGAAGTCCAAAGAAGCAAGAACGAAAAAAGTTGTGGCCGAGAGCCGATAATGTTCAGATAATGCGGGTAGATAAAGTCAAGCAGACTGCCTGATCACAGAGGCTGGATCGTTGTCGAGCATCCCTGCTGCAGCCCTTGCCCAAGGGTGCTCGGAAAACTGAGGATGAAGATGGTGTGTATTTGGCGACCTCATTTTCATGTAGAAGTCCGAACGCAGAACTGTTTAATGCCTGTAGCAACAATGTTCCCCACATGAGACGTTATCAACGACTGTGAAAACGCAGCGTGGCCCTATACGAAATA